GTGTTCACAACAATGTAGGGGGCGAAATTCACATAATATCCGTGCCCGAAACGACTCGCCCGGATTAAACGGATTCCCAGTGTTTATGAACTGAGAACGCACATAGCATTTTGTATCTCTTTCTCTTTATATCGTTAAGATTAATTATTATAGTAATTATCATTGACTTGGGAAGCAAAAATAGTTCACCATCATCGCGAACCAAAAATGGAATCTTAGCCGCCATAATGAAATATTCGACTCTATAATTATATTCATTTTTTCATTTTAAATTTGCATGCATTAACGATAACTACTTAGATATAAGCCTGAATGTAGGTACGTAGACTATATTAGACGCCACAGTATACCGGTTTCTCGTACTAGATTCCTTACGTCTTAGACCACACCATACTTTACCGAAACAATTTAGATCTATCTTGTGTTTATATACTGCACTTCCATCCTCATTTTTTTTTCAACGAGAATTTTCAGAAACTGTTTCTTTTCGAAATGATAACAAACATCGCTGTACCTAATGATCCAGTGCTAATTTCTAATGAAAAAGAAAAATAGAAGAAAAGATAATTGGAAGTATTCCTTTCTGAATTGTTGCTATAGGTAACTGCACAGAAAGAACAAAGTAGCTTCAGAATATCACACTAAAGAAATTCTATGTAAATCCTTCGCCACCCATACTGAATTTTCAAACCAACATAATAACGTCTGAACTCTTGTGTACCAACTGAGACACTCGTTGTTCCGAAGAGAGTCTGGCAACCACTCGCAGAAGATTAGCCTTACAGAGAGAACAAGAAGACATTGGTACAAGGAGAAAGAATCTAAATCTACGTGCCTCAGTTACTGGCACAGTAGCGTGTTATTTACTTATCAGGATTGTGAACAAGAAGACGCGTCTGTTTTCCATTCGACACCTGATAAATCGGACATCCAATGTCAGAGGGCGGAGGTTCAAACGTAAGCTGGTGAAAGGTTCAAAGTAAGTCGCGAGATGACATTGTTGCGTAACGTAGCCCTTGTTATTCTCGAACTCTTAATTATCTGTATCACCATTATGCGACAGTCGTGACAGACGACCATGGAAACGCCCCGTAATCGTTCAGCGATCAATCGTTGCTCTGAGCTTTGACTACCGAAACCAGAGAACGCCTTTGGAGATGGCACGTTCGCTGGACTGCCGCTGCTTTTGTAACTTCTGTGTATAAAAATAAAGTTAATATTTAGTTCAGCTATGATTACATGTACGCAAAACAGTAATTCAATCTTCAACCATATATATATATATATACTTCAAGGCCATTGGAATCAATAACTAAACTACTCTACGCAACTGCTAATTCATTTAAAAATTCTGATTTAATTGAAATCACCTTTTATCCAGATGATCAGTTTCTTTACGGGTGTGAGAAGGTGGTGTCGAGGTTGGTGTGAGTATCAAAACAGGTGTCGTAGTTGGAGTCGATGAAGGTGTCACGCTTTTCAGTGATGAATCTTTGCGTCTAGAGGCTGGCGATGCCGGCGCAGATCCAGCTGCTCCGTTACCTCTAAGCCAAGAACTTTTGCTGGTGTCTGGTTCAGAAGATGAAGGGGAGAGAAGAAGACCAGGCGATAATAACACCACCGGTACATGTGCAAAGTGTTCTGTGGGAATTCGCATCTAGAATGTGAAGTACATATTAGTAAAGACAATGAAATATTCATCGAGACTGATTCGAATCCAACATTTTATTCACAACTCACTTTGGAGTAACACTTCACGCACACTGTCCTTTCACACAAACGACAACGTTGTCCCCAAGGACCTAGCAGTCCGAATCTAGTCTTTAGGCAAAGGAAACAGACACGTCGTTTCTCCACATCTTCTTTTACGCGACCTTCTACTGGTAGAGATTCTAATTCGGCTTTGGTAAGTACACTACGAATATGCACAATCTCCTCAAGAGTTAAAGAAAGCCTTTCATCCAGGAACATGTCACCTAACGTAGGTTTCTAGAAAGAAAGAATATTTCCTCGACATTAATATTTAGCTAACAAAGTGTTTAACCAAATTCAATTGAAGACAATGGAAGAGGTTGTAGTTATAGTTCTTTTTAGATGGTTGTCTATGTGTTAAATACATTGATTCTCATAAAGCTTGTTCTCACCTGTCCTTTATCATCTTGCCAGTCTTCATTTTGATCTTCAGAGTCTTTTGTTGAACCCTCGGCAATCGTTTGAGAACGACGGGGTTGTCTTGCTCTTGGTTGAGGACTTAAACTAGGACTAGGGTTCAGGCTAATATTAGGACTCGGCCCCTGGCTCAACGTTGACTCTGTCACGCCTATGTGCTGACGACTCTGAGGTCTTGAATGAGGAAGAGATGCGGTGCCAGTCAACGCTGTCAGAGCTATACTGCGTCTAGCTGCATGTTTCTTGGCTGATGCTCTTCTAGACGGGCATTGAGTCGCAAGATCGTAAGCTACAAGGTGCAATTGATCATGTATTATTGGAAATTATGTTCTCTGTAAAATAGAGCTGTTATTATTTTCAAGAGACAATTACATTCTAGTTGAGCATCACAAAACCGGTGATACTCATTCCTTGTCAAACGAAGTCCACCAGTTTTTCGCCAGGGATTTGCAGAATCTACCTCATCATCATCATGTCTATGATCTTTATGCCTGTTACACGTGCTACGTCTGTCCGCGAATGAGTAGTCCTCTTTAAGTTGCCAGTAATTCGTTGCTTCGTCTTCTTCCTCAAATCTCGTAACAGCAAATTCTTCATTGTAATCTTCGTCATCGTCATCATCCTCTGCATCGAGCTGTTCATTAAGAAAAACTGAATTTTAGGGATTTAATTATACGTAAATACCAAACAGTTTCCTAGAATGGAGGCGATAATTTCACTGGTGAATTCTCAAAGCTCTAAAGCATGGATAATTCAGAAGTAACGCGATTCAGATAATATTTACCTTCAAATCGAAATCCACAGGTATTACTTTTCGCCTATTTGTTGTAGGATTTGAACCGTCAAGATCCCTTCTTGGAGGTTTTGGTACTGCGGTTGATTCGTTTCCTTTGTCTGCACTACTTTGGGTTTGATCTAAAAATTTCATTCACACTAATAGGTTTCGATCATGTTGATCACCATCGCAGAAAGTACGGAAGTATGTATGCTGATGATCAATGAACATGACACACGACTTGTCCTCCAAGGATACTTTGAAAACAATTCTCCAAGAAAGAAACGAATAAGACAGTAGTACCTCAGTAAATCTCAAATACATACATCATTGCCTCCTGAGCTTGTGTTGCGTTAAATGTAATCAGTAAAATTATTTGAACTTAGTTGAACGCTTGTATATCAAAACAATCCTCTGCTTATTAATACACGACTCATTCTCAAACTATATTCTGCTCACGAACATTATACTTAACAAATCCCCCATGAAAGATTTATAGAATACGCACACAATAGAAGTTGCAATTCAACATTAATCCTCAAACCAAGATCAACGATTACCACAGTATATTATATCAAACAAATTACAGAGTGTTTCACATAACTGTATCGCCTAGAACATCTCCGTTACACTAGAATCTCCTAAAAACAATTCCACAGTGTCGTATGAAATACTTCTGTAAAATCTACATACAGAAACCGACAATCCACAGAACTTACAAGAATAACCATGTTTCCTCCGTATACTTTGAATCTCAAAACCGATTACTCAGAACACGACATCTGCGTCACCATATTCGTGGTTGAATTTCATTCTCATACATATTACCATTCGCGTCGGGCGAAGAGAAGGTGAATGGTATGATTACCTGGGACCGTAATGCGCCTTCTACGCGACTTACGATTCCTGTTTCCCGGTACCCTAATCTCAGGTTTGCCGACTCTCTGTCTCGGCTGCGGTACCGGCGGTACATTCGTTCTACTTCGGCTCGCGGTAGCCGGCACGTTAGTGGTCCCGGTTGCGTTGGCCGTTGCCGTTGACGAAGAACCACTAGTCGAAGGGTTCTCCGCTTGCCACTGAGCCGCCACATCCTGCGCTGGTTCTTGTTCCTGCTCCGGCTGCGACGGTGGAACCTCACCCAAGACTATCATGCGGGACTCGCCGCCTACGATCATTAACTTCATCTCTCTCCTTGCCCTCTAACAATATTTACAACGGTTCTTTGCAAAGGCTTTACTTGTGGTAACCACGAGATCTGACCGGAAGTGGCGCGCGCCGATTCTTTCAAAGTCCCCTGGCTCAACAGCAATATCTCGCGGCCTGCGAATCAACATTTATTTTCTTTATAAATCACCGTCATCGTCGTCGTCCGGACAATCTATGTACAGTGTATCCCAAAATCCCGTCTCTCCCATCTCCCGGACACAAGATTATAGGTTGGCAGTGATGGTTACCAGCGTCCAGGCGGTACTCGTTCATCTGTTTGTGTTTTTCATCTTCTCGTCGTCCCGCTGGTCCACCGTGGTGCTCCTCGCTCCCCGGACGAAGACTGTGCATCAAGTACACGTGCTCGTTAATGCGTCTGCCCTCGTCTCAACGCACTCGACTCGCTGGCGCACAGGTTATACACATGACAGGATTTCACGGCCGAACCGAACCGTATCGTATCGCCGCGGAGGACAAAGGACAACACGGGGGCCAGGGAGGACGGCACCGAAACGGCCACCCACCGAATCACCGAGCGCGTTCTTGCACGATGACGTTCTCGGCCGACGTCAGCTCACCCTTTCCGCGCTTTCGGTTATTGATCGCGCTCGGTCAGGGGTCTGCGACGTCTAAGCCGGCCTATCCGCGAATCATGATTCATTCAGACCGACCCTTTCAACGAGATGCAGAGATACTTTGAACGAGGGGGAAAAATAATTAAGGAAACGTGAAATTATCTGTCGTATGTAATTGGCCTGGTTTCTTTTTCTATTATTTGTTGTTATTATTATGTTTTAGACACATCGATTCGAACGGTTAAATAATGGTCGGATCATCGTGAGGGTACAATTGATTACAGGGGATAAATCTAAGGGGAAGAGAAATGATATGCAAGCATTGTAGGGATTATTGTTAGAGATAAAATATTAGAGACACAGATACCGCTGTTCTGGTCGAGCTGCGAGGAATTGCCAGGTTCTACTCTCGAGATTACGGGCGAGAGATACGTGCAGAGCTGCGGGGCTGTACGCGCGCGCGCGCGCGCAGGCTCAGATTCTTGCGCATGGATGGTACTTGGTAAATATATTTTTCGTTGCTGGTATTGTCGCACGTGTGCGTCGCGTGGCTCTGTGTGTACCTTTTGGTCCATCGCGTTTTAGGTGAATAGTAGGGCAGTATATAAAGTGGCTGAAGTTTTGGAGCTCATGTTTATGTAGTCAACACTGGAACTGGCAGGTGGGTCAAAATGACTCATTCCTCATTTATTCTTTTATACTAACTGGAAGCATATGAATGCTTCTTCAAGAGATGATTAGAATATTGATTTATTAATACACAAATTAAAATGTAACTTCTATGGTTTTTTATAGGAAATGTTTAAACATCAGTTCTGCTTGGTAGTTCCAGTGTTAAGTTCCATAGCACCACACTTTGAATACTGGTTCAACTGCTTGTGTTTTTTTTGTATGACTCTTACTTTCTTAATTATCTTTTAGCAAATTTTTAATTGCTGTATATGGGAGCCTATTGTATATGTCTAAATAGTGTTTAGTAATTTAGATGTTAACCTTTTGCACTTGAGAGGTGACTCTCAGTCATTTGCTTTGATATACCAAAATTATGAAGTCTTACTGTAATCCATAAATATGTGGAATATTGAAATAATTACTTTGTTTCTTAACTTATGTGTGTTCTCTCATGAATATTCCTAATGAAAGATCTCCGAGTGCAAAGGGTGAACACTAACCGTACCGGAAACCGGTCAACTGGCCGGATTTATAGATTCTGCACCTTTTTGTTCATTTAACTTATATCAACTCCTATGTTCTCCGGTTAACCAGTCTTCCAATTGTTGTCTTTCCTTTTATTTCTATTTCCATTAAAGCAATTGATCATCTAACTTGTTCACTATCATTTTGTAGTAAGTTATTTGACTGGTTACCTTGAGAAACCGGTGCGGTTAGTGTTAATGCATACTTGACTAGGTTTCTTTCCTAATTTTTCTAATAGATTCTTCTGTTAATAAAGCGGTCAAAAGCTAAAACAGCATGAATGTTTAAGAGAATTAGCATTGTTTGCAGTATATTTTATATTCAGTGTATCAATAGCAACGCAATTAGCTCAGGAAGATTTATTGAGGTACCATAAAAGATCGTTTCAATGAAAGCAATGGTAAAATACCTTCAGGACACGAAGAGTTAAATATCGGTACACAAATATAAATTTAATGTATCGGTTTTCATTGATTTATTAAACCTTATACCAATATTAATGTGGATGTACTTCGTAAAGCAACACAATGTGCAGCATGCAGAAATTGTTGTCAAATGTAACTCACCATTTCTTTGGAACGGTCGTTCGGTCTTGGGGACGTATCTATTTCGGGACGGTCTTAAATTTGGCGGCTTTTTTATGCTCTCCATGAGTAACTCTCGCAGGGTCCATTCCTTGCGCAACGGTGGTAGTTGTCTTTCAGAGGCCTGAACAGATTGACAAGGTCCAACAATGTTACACAAGAATATCTGTAGGATCATTTACATCAAAAATGTCTAACTCCTTTTTTGTTGACCGTGTCATAGAAGAAATTCAATCATTCAATTGTCAGAGAAGCAATTAGACACCCTTGATTCAGATGGATAATAATTCTTGTGAAATTTAAAGAGGTTACCTTTTTTAATGGGGGTCTACTTCTAATAAATTCTAGAATAACCGCGTGAGCGTCTTTTTGCAAATGCGGCGACGGCGAAGGCGTCTTCCTCAGATGGTACCTTCTCTTTCGAATATCATCCATCAATATCTCATACGGCGTTAACTCAAACTCCGCCCGCTTACCGTGCCCACGTGTTGTGCTCTTTGAACCCAAGTTGGCCTCTACCTTTTTCAATTTCACTCCTTTCCTCAACTCTTGGATCACTTGTACCCAAAACCGTGCCTATTGAAATATTTTCATTAAATCATTGGAACGAGTTATAATTTAATGTTAAAACATACGAGATTTATAAACATCAAACCATTTATACTCTCATACTGACTGTGGATTGCAATATAAAAGCAATAGGACTTTAAAGGACTTTGACAAATTATTTGATAAACTTGGTATGTTCTAATATTGCAATCTGTGTACACAGCAGTATACATATTTTACCAAGCTACTTTTTGTACCAGTTTATAAGACAAATTGTAATTAAACTACGGATGCTTATGTGTTTACAGAGTTAGTATAATTTAATGATATAAAAATTAGTAACTGTATACTGTAGTCTACTTTAACTTCAATGATGGTACATGCTGCCAGGGTGAACATCCTGATATCTGTTGATATCTGTTATCTTAAGTAAATCTACAACAATGCGAATATACATAAACGGCCGTAACTTAATTGTATCTAAACCCTAATAGTTTCTTCGGTTACTTAACGTACTGCACATTAAATGGATGGCAGTGGATACACGTGCATTCATAGAAAAGCGTTTATGCGATTGTTCTCGTTACTCTGAAAAGTGGATAGCGTTAAAATTGTGCAGCTAAGATACGGAACCATGCCACATGCTTGTGTTAACACTCTCTCTAAGCTCTAACACTTCCATCTCGCATGCGCAGACGATTATTAACGATGACATACTTGTATAGCCCTCCAAATCCTAATGTCAGTCTATAATGGTAGAGAGTCAAGTCAATAAATCTCAAATATCTTATCTCTGCAAAAATGACAAATGACTTTATGGGACACAACGAGTAGCTCCACTTAGACGGCAATTATTATCGCAGGTACTCGCGTAGACGTTTGTAACAAATAGTACACTAATACAAAGAATTATATTACTGACTTTCAGTTATAAAATATTATTAAGTATCAAATAAATTCAACATAAATCACGTACGTTATCATATCGTTGATTAAGGCGAAACAAAGAAATATATTTTATACAATTCCAAGCATTTCCTTTTAATAATTTTATCGACCAATCAAGGTCTTAAAGGAGGAAAGAAAGTGTTGTATTTATATGAGGCTGTATCATGAATCATGTTGTAAATAAATGGCTTTACATCTCAACGATTCTTACCCAATCAATGAAATCTAATGTGTCAATGTTCTGGACGGACATCGAGTTCATCCTATTGCCATCGTTGCTAGCGGTATCTCTTTCGCTCGGTTTCAGTTTCCCCGCCGCCACTGTGTCCAAAAACTGAGACAGTTCCAGAGCCTCCGCTACAAATGCCCGGATTACAGCTTTGTAATGAGCTTCGGCAGACTCGACATTAGTCTGCATATGCCTGGCACATAACTATAAATTAATACACAAATTAATTCACACTTACGTACGAACTTATTAAGAGCTCACGACCAAACAATTGCGCTGCAAAACTTACTTGCATTACATTTCTTAATGAATATATTGACGGCCGCTGTTCGTAGGTATCATTACTTTTTTGTGACAAGCATTCATCTACATCAGCGTCACTAGAATCACGCTCAATACCTTCGTCATCCGTTTCTTGCGGACGCTCCTCTGACCCCCCTTCACATTCACATGAAAATAAAATTGAGAATTGTTGTTACTAATTAACTTATACATCAATTAAATTCTTATTACATTTTTTTATTTTTAACCCTCTATAGGCTGCAACTTTGAAGTTACATAGCAATATACTTGGATTTTGATGTATTTAATTTTTTACCGCAAAATAAATGAAATTTATATCACGTTACAATGATTCGATCCCGGTGAAATTTTACCTTCGTTCGAATTAGTCATTAACGTTATAAGGCCTTCTAGATCCGGCGATAAGAGCCTCTCTTCCTGTTCGTCTAGGCCGAAATCAAGCGCTTTAAAGATCATCATGCCTACCGAGAACATTGCCTACAATAAAAGAACAATATATTTCTCCGGGAACGGAGTTTCCTTGTTGCGAAACCTTTA